TATGAATAATAGAAGTTTGCTATTTTTGACAAAATTTCGATAATTAATATTTTCTAGCTATTTAACCTGACTTGGGGGTTATTTTCGTTCATTTATTGAATAATAAAGAATTTTACCGTTTCTCTTGGTGTTTTTCTTGCGTTCTTCTCTATATTTGTCAATTGGTTCCAGTCTGCATAATAATCACTATTCTGCCCGACATCAGTTTGTGGGCTCACTTATCAACAATGCTTCAACCTTATTATCAATTACTGGCAGTTATAAATGAGAAAATCACAGTTAAATTAATCACAAACTTTATCAATACACTTCTCCAATGATCAAAGAGTTCTAGATAACCACACGCTTAAAAAGATTTAAGGTCAAAAAGAATTTCACAAACCTCACGGACTGCTCCAACAAGCGCAGCCGATTTCGGACGAAATTGAAGCTGAACCATGGTAGAATCAGATGCGCCTGGTTGAGAGAAATGTTGTGTTGGTACTCCACGATCGAGAGGGTGGCCGGATGTGGAAGTAACTGGGGAGAAACCAGAACTGCGCAAGCAATTTTAGGTGGGAATTGGAGCTGTTTCCGACAGATTGCGGGCAAGCGATGGTCGAAGGTTGTAGAGGGAAGTGAGGGGGTGCCGGTGGTGCGGAGGTCCGAAAACAGCAAAGAGAACAGCCCCTTATATTTCATCAATTTTTTTTAATCAAAATTGACAAAAATTTTGATTTTAATCTACATTAGGGCTTAATATAAATAAATAGTCCATAATTACTCCGAAGTCCAAACTGTAATTTGACCAGTTTCTCTAGAAACCAAGAATGTTGCTATCAAACCTCGAGTTAATTGTCCCAGTGGTCACCGAAAGGTCTTCAATTGCTCACTAAAATTTAAGATGTCAAGTTTTGACAATTAAATTTATCCAAACGTTGGACGTTACTCGCTGGCATAATATCTGTTTAAACCGTTAAGGAAATGAGTGACGTGGCTAACAGAATGCACATGTAGCACCTCGTCACGTCATTAATGGATTGTCACGTCTTTGATTATTCACTAAATTTTGAACAACGTCTTAGATTGCTCATTGAAATTTGAGATTGTCGAATTTTGACTACTAAACTTATAAAAATTATGTTAGATTTTTATTCCTTAAAAGATGTGCACCACAAGCATAGGAGTTGCGTAAAAGTAATAAAGTGGACAAACGAGTCTGAATTATCGATCCCACTACAAATGATTACTCAATTACACAGTAATTAAATTTAAATGCAACATAATTTTGTAAAATTTTAAGTTATTTTCCTCATTTGAAAAATTCAAATTTATTCTGTGTTTCATTATTAAAATTCAAATTAAAGTAACATTTGAGTTTTGCAACAAATACATAAAAACGTTAATTAAATGACTTGTATGTTTCATTACAAAAGTTCAAAGTTTAATTATATTTACTGTGTGTTTCATTGCAAAATTCTTTTAATTAAATTTATTATTTTTTCGTTTTGTAATTGAATAATCATTTCTTGTGGGATTGACATTCGGACTCGTTTGTCAACTTTATTACTTTTACCAAGCATGTGTGCTTGCGGTATTCATTTTTTAATGAACAATTAGTCTACGTCATTTTTATAAGTTTAGTAATCAAAATTTGACCACCTCAAATTTCAGCGAGCAATGGAAGATTTTTTCAAAGTTTAATGACCATTCGAAGACGTGATAATTTGTTAACGGCATAATAGGGTGCCACATGTGCATTTTGTTAGCCATATCACTTAATTTGTCCAGCGTTTAAATAAGTTTAGTTGTCAAAATTCGATATCTTAATTTTAGCGAAAACACAAGTTTAGTGTCCATCGAGATAATTAACTCTCAAACCTCCAAGTGTAGTTCTTCCACTATTTCAAGATTTCCCAAAATCAATACGAAAGATCATTAACCAGGCCCATCTCTCGTACAGTCGTACTTCATTTTGCAGTTCAATCAGAGAGTGAGGTTTTAGAAGAGGAGAAAATGCGATCCCTTCAACGCATATTTACCCAACTCTCTATTAAAACCAACGTCAAAACCACAGACCTCAGGGTTTTATCCGATTTACCAAAATTTTTTTCCACTGAAAATGGAAGCGGCAATAACAAAAAGAAAGAAGGGAAGAATACATAAATCCTGCTTTTACTTATACACATTTCAAAATTAAGGTTAGATATTTTAAATTTCAAAAATCAGGTTTTTATTTAAATTTATTTATGAATTACTTAATTAATTATATGTTTTATTAATAAATATATAACGGTCACA